TGTATTGCCAGTGCTGAGTACCTGGCACGTACTTCATAAGTATTCATTGAATGAATTCTAGGTAAACATTTGATGGGGCAGTAGGGGTAGGTGATGGGGAGAAAATAATTCTGCAGCCACTAGGCAACATAGGAGCTAACTTGGACTGTGTGATAGAGATGCAAGCGAATAAATCCAAGGTACATTCAGAAGGTAACACTGACACGGTTTGGTGGTGGACTGTTATGAGAGAGTCAAATAACTTTCTTTTAAAAAATCTTGCTGTGAGAGACTTGTGAACACCATAGTGTAATTTCATCCTCTCATTCCCTGGAAACTTAAGGGCACATCAATTCTTAGCTCTTCAGCTACCCCTCCATCAAGGGCTGGTCTCCTTTCTGCTTTGCCCCAGGAGGAAGGTGCTTTAAGCTCTAAGTATGAGGAGGTTTTTTATTTCTACCCAGAACAGGAACCTACCCACTCAAGTATATTTGCTGAGCATGTTCTAGGTACCACCAAAGACACTGATGATGCAGAAATGACTAAAACAGTCTCCTTGCACTTGCATCTTATGTCCACAAGTACTACATTCACAAGATCCTGGACTAAGTGATACAGAAGGAAAACTGGAGTATGGGGTGGGCTTAGCCAAGCCACTCTCTGTTGGTGGTGTATTAGGTGAGACGTGAATAACAAGAAGGAATCATTAGCTGGGATCAGTATATGCCTATAATCACAGTGGTTTAGGAGGCTGAAGCAGGAGGATTGCAAGTTCAAGGCTTGCCTCAGTGATTTAGTGAGGCTCTAAGCAATTTAGTGAGACCTTGTCTTAAAAAAAAAAAAAAAAAAAGACAAGACTGGGCTCAGTGATGCAGCTCCCCTGGGAGCTCTGATTGCCAATACTGAAAGAAAGAAAAGAAGGAAGGGAAGGGAAGGCAGGATCAGGAATTTAACCCAGGGGCAACCACTGAGCTACATTCCTAGTCCTTTTTATTTTTTATTTTGAAACAGGGTTTAACTAAATTGCTGAGGGCTTTGCTAATTTGCTGAGGGTGATCTTGAACTTGCAATCTTCCTGTCTCAGACTCCCAAATTGCTGGGATTATTGGTGTGTGCCACCACTCCCAGCTCAGGAATTAGGATAGCCATATCAGGAAGATAAGGGGACCAGTACCCTTAGCCCTGTCTTCAAGAAAACTGACACCAGCTTCTATATTATATAGTTAAGTGGAGTCAGAAGTATGTGCAGTCAAGCAGTCTTGGTCAAACTGTGTTCTGGTTGGTATAGGATTGGCGGGTGGGTAGGTGGTGGTTGTCAGAACCTGTAAGAAAGCTACTGTTTCCTGGTTGGGGGGTGGCAGGGGAATTTCCACTCATCACACTGTGTTTATTGATAAGATCTGTTGTTTCTGGAATCCAAAGAGACTCAGAGTAAAGGAGATAGATGCAAAAATGGAGGCAAAGATGCCAAGTTTTTTTTTAATCCTGCTTCTAGTTACTCATTGAACTTTTGTAGGTCCAATTGATTTGTGGTTTTTTTTTTTTTGTGTGTGTGTGCCTACTCTGTCATTATTTGTCAATTAATATCATCCTTAAGACAGCCTATCAAGTAGGTTGGTGTTTCCCATTTTACACATAAAAAAGTTGAGACTCAGGGATGTAACAGACAAAGTTAGTTTTGGGACTCAGAAAACAGTATTCCAAAGTGTGGCAATTTGACGTGCTGGATACTTTGAATGAAAGCAGCAGACTCAGAACCAGGGTCTCTCTAACCTTCTCCCACTCTGTCCCTCCTTCTTCTAGAAAGAATGCAATTGCTATGGCATCCACCATTCCCAATAACCTCATTAGTCAAGGAGGATTAACTAGCAGAAAAGAAGGACACCATACTCAGAACCCAGAAGAACTTTGTCTCAGGCTATTCTCTGTTCTTTGATTTATCTCCCCTAAAAATCATTTACAAGAGGACACAGGGAGTGTTCCCTTTGCCCCTACACTAGTCAGTTGTAGAGTTAGAATTTCAGTCTGCCCTCTGTCTCCAAAGTTCATATGCATTCCCTGGGAAAGTGTGCTAATAATAAAACTGATAAAAATTCTTTGTATTTTTTTTCTTGATCTTTAGTTCATCATCAACCAAAGTGGATCTCAAGAGTGGCCTAGAAGAATGTGCAGTGGCATTGAATTTATTTCTAAGTAACAGATTTACAGATGCCTTAGAATTGCTTCGTCCAGGGTAATTTATTTTTAGATGAAACGTTGTTTTATCCATTTCTTTAATGTCATGTAGGTTAATTTATGTGTTCCTACCTAAATATTTATAAGCCTATTTGGTTGAGACCCCTTATTGTATGTCAGTTTTAAAATTTAGTTAAGAAATATGTCTTTTTAAATTTTATCATTAGAAAATTTCTGATTATTTCATATATTTTAATTTCCATATTTGGCTCAAATATTATCATGTTATGTAGTTTTGTAGGACTTCAATTTTGTTTTATTCAGTGAAATATTTACATGGATGTTTCTTTTAAATATAATTAGAAAAAGATTCATTTGAAATGAGGCAAAGAACTAGAATATGCTAATCTCAATGTTAAATTTCAAGATAATATTACTGGGATTCCCTATATATGTGATTAACCAAGTTGAGTAATTTAATATTTTAATTAACAGTACCCTTAATTTTTCAAATCATGATTCGCCAATTAGCATCTCAGAAGTTAAGAAGAAATGATAAGATAAATGTTGAGACCACAGGCTAAGGAAAATTGTCAGGGTTGCCTCCAGTTCTTGTCTCCACCTCTGCCTTGCCAGTGTTCTTCCCTCCTCCACCCTTCTAGGTGCTTTAGACTTCTCTTTCTGTGTTCTGGCCCTCTACCTCCTTTTGTAGTCTTCTTGTCTTTCCTTCTTTAATTCTCCTCTGTCTCCTTTCTCAGCCTACCTACCTATCTTTTTTATTTTTTTATTCAAACAAGTCTTTTTTTCCCCCCTTCTTCCATTGACACCCAGCTGGTTATAATATAATCTTATATCCAGTCAAGTTTTATAGTCCATGATATTTATGCATGCGTCATTGTTAAAAATACTCCCCCTGCTTGAACCTTTTTTTTTCCTTCTTGGAAGAACATTCAGTTAGAAAAATAATAGGTTTGAAGGCACAGTTAGTGAATAACTTCTGGCTGCTCTTATTCCTTGTAGTTCTTTTTTTTTTTAATATTTATTTTTTTAGTTGTAGTTGGATACAATATCTTTATTTTATTCATTTATTTTTATGTGGTGTTGAGGATCAAACCCAGAGTCTTGCATGTGCAAGGCGAGCACTCTACTGCTGAGCCATAACCCCAGTCCCCTGTAGTTCTTTTGAACAACCAGTGGCCTCACCGTTTAGGACAAACTGCAAATTACCAAAGAATTGTTTAAACTATTTATTTCCATGGGGGAAGGGAAAAAAATTAGTGTGGCTTGTATTTGTTTCATATAGTAGCAGGCTATTGAGCCTTAATATTTAAATTAAAAACAAAACTGTGTATTGGTTTTTTGTTGTTGTTTTGGCTATGCTGGGAATGAACCCAGGCCCTTGCTATCTTAGCAAGCCCTTCACCACTGAGCCACATCCCCAGGCATATGCATTGCTTTTTTTTTCTTTTGGTACTGGGGGTGCTTAACTACTGGGACACATCCCCAGCCCTTTTTGTTTTTTATTTTGAGACAGGGTCTTGCTAAGTTTCTTGAGACCTTGCTAAGTTGCTGAGGCTGGCCTTGAACTCTTAATCCTCCTGCCTTAGCTTCCCACACTAGTGGGATTACAGATGTGCTACACTGCACTTGGATATGTGTTGGTATTTTTAATATCATAAATAACTAACATCAGAAGTTTTGAGAAGAGATAGTAATGCTTTTACATTCAGGAAATTGAGATGTCTGTTCCACAGTAGAACTAATGAACATTCTTAGATTCCTGAAGCAACCATTGATAACTTAATAACTAAAATTATTAAGAACTTTAATTAGGAATCTCAGATAATGCAGTTAGATCAGATACAGGATTTGAGATTTATTTTGGTCAGGCCCTTTTGGGGCTGACCTACTGCCCCTCAATTGCCCCAAATCTTGCTTCTTCTTGATCTCTGGCTGTAGATGAAAGGGAATGATTTTAAATGAGTCTTCCTCTTTCAAAAAACATTGAGGTCAGGCGTGGTGGTGCATGCTTGTAATCCCAGTGGCTCAGGAGGCTGAGACAGGAGAACAGAGTTCAAAGCCAGCCCCAGCAAAAATTAAGTGCTAAGCAACTCAGTGAGACCCTGTCTCTAAATAAAACAGAAACTAGGGCTGGGGATATAGCTCCGTGGTCAAGTGCCCCTGAGTTCAATCCCTTGTAACCCCCATCACCCAAAATGAAATCTTTTTGTCACAAAATATATTTCCAATAGTCTTTATTTTTAGCACTTATTTTAAATCTTAAGGCAGCACATTGCACCTTGTTTAACTAGAAAATGTTGTTTGCTCTGAAACCTTTTCTGGGAAATGAATCAGCAGGCTGCCCCCTTGTGCTGAAGCAGAGAAAGGCATGTTGTCCACTTGAGCTTCTTCTCCTAGAACATTTTGTCCTGCCTGTGTGGTTTTAATTTGGAAAATTCTTGGCAGTAAAGTTCTTAAGCACCCACCTCTCACAGGCTGTAATATTTCAGTGATTATGGTGAAAGACTAGATGTTATTATTGTGGAAGTCAGGGCATGCTTTGGTAGGATTTCTTGTGATTAGTATCAAAAAAGCCTAGATTGTTTTTTTATTTAATTGAATTATACTAATTCCCTGTGTTCTTTTTAGGGCTAAGGAGAGTATGTACCATGCCTTGGGCTACAGTACCATTGTGGTGTTGCAGGCTGTCATGACCTTTGAACAACAGGACATCCAAAAAGGCATTTCTGCCATGAAGGACGCTTTACAAACCTGCCAAAAGTATGACTGAAGAGTTAAATACTTGAGATCTGACCCCCAAACCCTGATCCTGTGTGATAAACTGAGTCCTATTTGCCTGAGAACTCTGGTTAAGGTTGGCCAGATACAGAAAAGGACTTCAGCTTCAAAACTTCTTGGCCTCATCCAATTTTATATAATAGAGTTTAACAATTCCTACCAGGAATAATGTGGTTCCCAGACTTTTCTTCTTGATAGTTTAGGGCCTCAGCTAAAGAGAAGATTTGAGGATTTCAGTGAGGTTAACAGCCAGCATCTCTCAGGTGTCTCCTGAAGTGGGTGAGATTTGAGTACTGTATGCTGTGCCAAGTCAAGCAAGGAGCTTGTTTTATGTGGGATGCTGCAAATTCCAACAGGATTATTTTGTTCATATAAGAAGAACTTATGTTGGGTACTTTTGGATTGGTCAAAATAAGATAGATTTTTAAATGTATTTTGAGCTTTCCTCTGTATGTTTAGGAATAACATAGTAAAAGCTATTATTAGTGTTAGTAAATTTTAACATGGGTAAATTGACATCTTTATATAATTATGTTGTGAGCCCCTCAAATGAAGAGCACTTTCAAATAGTGCACTTTAACTCCACTGGTGACATAGCCATAGAGATAAGGGAAGGCCCCTAGCAGGTTTAGTATTTAGTGTGTATGGGTTTGTCCCACATGTGGGGTGTAAATATGGGATGACTGTCTGTGGGTTGCTAGCCCTGTGCTAGGAGCTAGGTGTGCAGTTGATGGAAAAGGGTGGCCTTTTCCCTGCAGAAGTGAGGGTTTAGAGTTGCAGCTTGGTGACTCTTTGGTGTGACTGTTGAAATGAATGTCAAATGAAAAAGAACACAGCCTGATTTGTTTTTATTTTTTCTTTGTATTTCCTATCTCCCTATCTATTTACTCAATGTAGATATAGGAAAAAATGCACAGTTGTAGAATCTTTTTCAAGTCTTCTTTCTCGAGGATCATTGGAACAGCTGAGTGAAGGTATGAGTGATTTCAAAGATTAATTTTTATTTTCTTTTAAAAATTAAAAGGCAGTCATGTTCATAAAATTCAATACTGAAGTGTAGAAAGTAAATGGAATCTTTTATCTTCCCCATTGTGCTCACCCTCCTGAAGTAACCATTGCTAATGGTGAATTTAAAGCCTTGCAGACTTTTCTATGTACAAACATATAAGAAACCCATAGGGTTTTGGTGGTTGTTTATGTGGTGTTCACCTTTTGCAAACATGGAATCATGTAATGCATGTCATTCTATAATGTTATGTTTTCCCAGGTTATATAAATATGCTTCATTCTACACCTATGTAGTATTGCATATGATGGATATACAAAATTTAGTTGCTTTTTCTCTATTAAAGAACAGTCATATAATTTTTAGTTTTTCATTGTTGCAAATAATGATGTTCTAAAACCCTTGTACATGTGTCTTCACACATTTAAAAAATATTTCAGAGGATAAATTCCTACAAATGGGATTACAAGTTGTTTTAGTCATTTTTTTCACTGCTATGACCAAAAGACTGACAAAACAATTAGAGGAGGAGAAGTTTATTTGGGGCTCATAGTTTCAGAGGTCTCTGTCCATAGATGGTTTACTCCATTTCTCCTGGCCTCAGTTTGAGACAGAACATCATGGCAGAGAAGTGTAGCTGAGGAAAGCAGCTGGGAACTTGGTACCAGGAAGCAAAAAGAGAGAGCTCCCCTCACCAAGACAAAATATAATATAAACCCCAAGGCTAAGCCCCCAATGACCCACCCACGCCTCTAGCCATACCCTACCTGCCTTCAGTTACTACCTAGTTAATCCCTATCAGTGGATCAACATACTGATTAGTTTAAGGCTCTCATAACCCAACCATTTCACCTCTAACTTTCTTGCATTGTCTCACACATGAGCTTTTGGGAAACATTTCATATCTAGATCATAATACTAGTTCTAAGGGTTTGAAATTATAAAAATTTACAGGTATTGCAATTTTTTTCCTCTAAAAACTTAAGACACTTATATTCTTACTTTCCACTTAATGAGAGTTTCAGTTTTCTCTGTTATTAAGAATTTTTTCCAAGGTCAAAGTAATTTTGATAACTTTTAAAAAGTGTTCATACTTCACAGTATCATAGGTATTCTGTTGGTGGATAGGTAGTTAGGAATGTTCAGGAATCTAGGAATGCCCACAGCGTCCTGAGCAGATGGATGGGAAGAAAGGAAACCTGTTGTCGGTTACTTGATGTTCCTCCTGAGATCAGGGCAGAAGTTTCCAGTTGTTTGATTGATGTTTTACCCTAGTGAGGATGGTTTACCAGAAAAGAGTGTGCAGGTAACCCTGCAGAATTAAAAATATGTCCTTCAGAAACTTCTGTCATTTCAAAGGAATCTGTTCCTGCATTGTCATTGTCCGACTTGCTGTCTGGAGGAAGTAACACAAAATACTTGAAATCTTTGTGGCTGATTAAAAGCAAGAGCAGTTTTGAAAACCGTCAGAGGCATTCCTCATGGTCAAGTTTACGTCGCACACATTGTTGAGTGTGTTTTATCATGAAGTGTTCATTTTTTTAGACAAGTGTCATCAACTCATTATGGACATTGGAGAACTTGGGAACATTTGCATGGTGTGAGTTTCAAGTGTTGATCACCAGAGAGGATTGATGCATATCACATCTTCAGGACTTGTTCTAAGAGAGTGTGATGTTGCCTCTCCAACAAAATGGAATTTCATTGGTCATTCTGTTACAGGGCAGATGCCTACTGTGAAACTAAGGCGGTGCGGAGACCCCCTCTTTTCTTGAAATTAGGCCAGAAAGATTTCAAATTTGTCATTCAGAATAATAGTCATGAGTTTATTAGAGGGGATAGGAAAGAAGAAAGGGGGATACTATTAAGGGAGAGATGGGTCCTTTCAGAGAAGAGAGAGAGATTGTGCCCTTCCTGCTCTCCAGTTTTAGTGGCAGAGGGGGTTTTGAAAGTTTCCAGAGTCCCACCCAGGTCTACCTTTGGATTTTTTTTTTCCCTGACAGCATAGGACTAGATGGACTGTATCCATGGGAGGATGGCATGATGCTCAGAGTTGGGGATTTTAAGGAAATAGAGTCCCCCTGTTTTTGCCTCTGTTTCCTGTCCCCTGAATTGTTTATTACCCTTGAATAGCCATCAGCAAGCTTTCTTGTGAGGGTCTTGATGTTCGATTGCCAAGATGATTGGCGGCTGTGATAGTTGTGACAAGGGAGGTTTCAGGATCCCTGGTTGGGTGTGAACTGATCTTGAAACAATGGTTTTGCTTGAGGGGAGGTAATTATGGGCTGGAGGAGATTTTAACATGCTAGGTCCCCATCTTCCAGCTGCTTATACCTGTAGTTTTCAGTTACCCTTCCTTGTCTTAGCTCTGCCCACCCATTCATGGCTGACTAGCTACCTAACAACTCTAGACCCCTGAAACCCATCTTGTTTTTTT